AATGGCAACAGATCTGTGGATTTTGCGGGGTGCAGAGAACAGGGCAGAAAGAAAGCCAGAAAGAAGAGTCTGAAAGTTTGGCTGCTGGAATAGTGGAAAGGAAAAGGTAACTTAATAGCATCTCCCCATTCTCTTCATTTGGGAGCTGATCACAGGGCAATGGCATCAGGCAAGAATAGTCTTGGCTGAGACTTGAAGTAAAATATAGATGGCTGCGTCCTCTCCTGTGGGCTGAATGTCTCTACAGTTATGTTGGCTTTCAGTATGCTCCCTGAGGAAGGATCTAAACCTGTTCAAAGTGCCATCATGACCTGAGGACCCAGTTATCTTTTGATTGCTGCTTCAGGTGGACAGAAGACTTGCTTTCACTCTTTGAACTGTTGATCTTGGTGAAACTAATCTCTCCAGGAATACAAGATACTTGTATGAAGCTTCACATGTTGGATACTGTGGCACACCTTGTATGTTGGTCTGTCCCTATGCTACAGTCAGGCTCACTTTAGTCTTTCTCCTAGAGAATGTGCAGTCTGGCATGGACTTGAACATTTACACTTTCCTCTGTTTTCTGGACCTCACCACGGTGTTTGTGTTCCACAGCTACCTAAACAGAAAGCTCCCCAAATTCAAAGCTAGCTTGGGTGACAGTAAAGCTCTATCTCCCTGAGACATGTCCAGCAAAACCATGTTCTTCTGTAATGCTAGGAAGTAATTTCTGCTGCTTTAGGTACTATAACAGCCCTACCAGACTTGGGCATTTCTGTATTAACCAGTGGTGGATTCATTGATTACATTACCTGTAGTAACTGTGTAATAGAGTGGTGAAACAAAATCCTCTTTGTACTTGATCTATCAAGTGTACTTTCTAGTTTTGTATTGCAAACATTGCTTGATTGCTCCATAGCAACTCTGTCTGGGTCAGCTGGCACTGAAGCATACTTTGCTTGGCAGATCAAGTATTTTGGGAGCTGTGGTGTCAGTCTCTCCTTGACCTGCACCAAGATGTGTGATGAGGGAGAGGCCTGGCCAGATGGCTGGGTGGTGGGTAAGGGAATTGCTGGAGTCAGCTCTGGCAAGACTGGAAAGAGTCTGAAGTATCGTATTCTCATCAAGCAGAGATGACTATCTTCTTTCATCTGGCTGTGACCTTCTTGAGCGTTTTCTGTCTTTTTTTTTTTTTTTTTTTTTTGTGCCTGGCTTCTCATTCAGCTGCAGCCAAATGGGTGAAGATTGCTGGAAAGGCTTGAAGGGAGAGGCTGCCTTGTCTCTTGCTGTGGCCCTTCTTACTGGGTTGGTCCCTTGTTGCTCCCTGCTGGCAACCACAGCTCCCAGTGCCCTGGCTGGGGGAACAGACAGCATGGGGCTTCCCCATCTACCCTTTCAGTCTTTGCCACCAAGGAGCTGGTGTATATTGATGGCTGTCAGTGGCTCTCAGGACCAGGGAGGCATTTAGCAGAGCTCAGCTCAAGCTTTAAGGACTGTTTTGCCTTTTCCTGCTCAGGGCATCCAGGTGCCAGGCAATGGTTGTGGTGATTTTTCCCAGGGCATAGCAGAACTTGAAATTGGAGCAAGGGAAGACAGTGGATGGTAGCCTGAAGAGACAGGTCAGCCCAGATCCCCTCTCCCCTTCTTGTCCTACAGTTTCTCCTGAAGACCTGTAGAGAGCGAGCTGGAGGCTGTTGGATGTTTACTTCCAAAGTCAGGTTAGCCTCTGGCTGCTAGCACTGGAGAAACAAGAGAAGTAGGAAGGGGAGAAGAGACTGAGGGTTGGACCCTTTCCTCAAGGGGCACCACTAGGTAATGTTGGTGTTTGGGGGTTAGTTTTCTTAAGCACCTGGCTTTTGATGCCTTTAGGCCATCAAATGGCCTAACAAAAGATCACCCTCCTGGCAAACCCTGTTTCCCTGAAGCACTATCTTGTCTCACTTCCCGGTGAGCCTGACAGGGTCAGGCAAGCTGGTATTGGTGCTCTCAAAGCCATCTCTCCTTCTGTACATATGGATTCGTCATACCCTTGCTCAGCCCTACAGAGTCTAGCAGGGCTTTGCTCCAGCTGTCGTCTCCCAAAACCAGCCTCTGGACACTAGAGTGGCATGATGGTCAATATGAACAACAGACACTGGTGTAATGGTGAGATAAACCATGTTGTCAGCCCCTGGGAGCACAAGGCTGCAGCTCTGGAAGGGGCAGGGCAGGAGCCTTGTGCCTCCTGCATACTGAAACCTTGCTGCAGTGCACCTAATGATTCAGAGCGGTGGCATGCCCTGCTAGCCAGGAGCTGGGATTTGGTCCCTTGTGCTCGAGAAGGTAAGCCTGTGTCAGGGCAGTCCTGAGAGCTGTGGTGCTTGGGTACAGGAGGAGACCTCTGTGCTGGGGTCAGGTAGGGACAGGGCAGTGCCAGGCAGCTGTGCAGTGGAGCCCAGGAAAGGCAAAGCCAGCGACAGCCACTGAGCCAAGGCTTGCCCTGATGGGTTAGCAAACTTCCTCTGGGGCTGTGAAGTATTGTCTACGCTGTGTGGGCTGTCAACACCCTCCTCCCGGGTGATCTGCTTCCAGGGAAATGTCTTCACTTCTATGGTTGGGCATGTGACAATGCTGCCCTGGAGCACTCCCAGCCCTGCTTAATCCTCATCTCATTCCCCCTCTTATCTCTTCAGTTTGCTTCCTCTTGTGGGCCATCCTGCCTGGCTGAGCCACCAGCTTGTTCGCCTTATCACTTTCCAGTGCAAAATCAAAGCAATTAATAGCTGTGCTTGGGCTGCCTCAGTGCTAAAACCAGAGTGATTTAGATGACCTGTTACTCTATTCTCCCCCAGCTGCTGGGAATGCTCAGGTGCCCGGCAAAATGCAGAGTGTTGCAGCAGATGGTAAATGGGTCACTTGCAGTTTTTTGAGCAAGAGCTCATCATCAGATGAGAACACCTTCCCCAGGGTTGTCCCAAACTGGCGTGAAGCAGCACACTGATCCAGCAGGAGGGGTAAGCGGGGCTTGCTTTGTTTCACTCAATGGATGCGATAGCTACATGGTCTCTTGAGAGGATGGGTCTGTGGAAATGGTCCTGTGGATCTCAGTAGGAATGCAGGGTTGAACAGGATTAAAAGAGGCAGCAAGACTGTCTTTTAAGAAGAGACCACTTATTCCATTTACCCACCTTGTGGTGCCGTTGACATACAATACCCCTCTGGGTTTTTGTGGTTGTTCTGAGTAAGTTAGGCAGGCAATGTGTTTGGAAAATGTGTTTTAGCTAATAGTCTAGTTTCAGTAAAGGTCTAATGAAGTGCGCTCAAACAGGGTATAGTTGAGTTCCTTGCTGCAGGAGGCTCGGCTCTAAACCTCTCCAGAGTGGTCAGGCAAACTTGAGAAAAGATGTTTAGGAGCCCTCAAGCACAGAGGGCACCCAGCCCTTTCGTTGCCTGGTGAGTGCCTCAGCTATGTTCTGTTGTAAGCTGGACTAAATGCACGAAACATCACAGTGCTTGCGCTCCTCCCCAACACGTGCTAGTGAGCTGGGGAGACCTCAGTCAAAGCTGTTTGAGCCTTTCTTTATAAAGGCTTTAATGAAGTAGGTAAACTTTTTTTTTTCTTCCTATCTGGGGAAGGGAGGTGCTGGTTATGGTGGGGTTTGGCTCCTAGGCTGTGACTCTTGTTTAAGGGTACTGACTGGTCTTATCTAAACACTCTAGTCCTGTTCTCCTGTGCAGGGGGTAGACTTCTAGCTCTGCACCCATGGCAAAAGCAGGCTTGAGCTAGTGCAGGTTGTGAACCTCAAGGGACAGGAACAACTTGTGCTGGTTGAAGAAAGAAAAAGCTTAATTGTGTAGTACCCAGTACTACTTGTGGCAGGCAGGTCCTTAGGGGACTACCAAATTTCCTGGTAGGCTGCAGGAGAGCACAGCAGGACTGAGGGATGAGTTTCATCTTACCTTCTTGGTCAACACTTGCGTGAGAGGCAACTCTGTAGTTAAGGCTGGAGGAAAAAGAGCCTACAGGATCTGAACTCCATAGGGGAAAAAAAAGCCTTCCTGCATTTAGTTCTGTGCATGGTCTTTTCCTGTCTCTGGTAGCAAACTTTTTTAAAAAAACCCATGCTATGTACAGTTTCCCTTCCTGCCCTTGGGGAGAGTACAATGAGTCATGGGAGGACATTGCTTAATGCCCTGGAGGGTGCTTGGATTGTCATCATCCGGTAAGAGCAGGCTAGGAACAAATTTGGCTGCAGGTCAGAGTTGCTCAAGGTAAATGCACACTTAAATGTGAATGATAACTAGGGAAACCAAAATGAGATGCCTGTACATGAGAACTTGTCAGAGGAAATACAGATGCACCTGGATTTTTCTCTAGAAACAAATAGTAGGCGTAGCTCTCGTTTGCTTATTAAAATAAAAGCAGGGCTTTGGGAGGATGGACAACTGAAGATTTTTATTTTTTTTATTTAAGATCTCCTTATCTAGGCAGGATGGCAGCTGAAATGATTGCAGCCAGGCTGGGCTGTGTCCTGTTGCCTCTCTTTGCCAGCTTTCTTTATTTTTGGAGTTCTTTCATTTGTGCTTGCCTTCCCCGTTTTTATGCCTACTCAAGGGTCTCTGGCTTCTTGCAGTCTGTCTTGCTGCCTCCCAGCAGTGCAAAACCATGTCACGAGGATGTGAGGGTGTCTCTTCTGCCCTCGGTGGTTTTTATGTCAGCTTCTTCCCATCCTTGTAACTCTGAGATTTGGGTGGGTTAAATGATGTGTCTTGCTGAGCAGCTAACAGGCAGTTGCTGGCAATGCAGCTCTGCTTGTTCTTGGGGTGTTTCTGTCCCTGCAAGCAGCAGATGCAGTGAGCTCCTTTTGTTAATTAGTTGGTATGCTTACAGTGCTCGGTGTATCTCCTTATTCACCCTGGTTCTGGAATGTATATAACCAATGTAAATTGTATCTCTTCCCCTCCTGTCCTCACAGATTTTGAGACGCGACAACTACTTTGGAGAAATGTCCCCTGTGTAAAACCCCAGCTGCTGTACCATGTACCAGTCTGGCTTTGTGCCGCGGGAGTATTACCCAGCTGTGATCCCACCTTCTGCCTACACCTACCCACCGCTGAGGACTGGGAGAGTAGAAGACATGACCAGCTCTGTGATGTTTCCTCCCATCCAGGTGCACAACTTCTATAGCCGACCCATCACCTTTGTGGTGGACCGGAATGGCTACCCTGACTATGTGGGAGGTCAGGTGGATTATCATCTCTACAGTGCTTCCAATCCCTACTACCGTCCGTACTACACCTGGAACTTCCCTCCTGTGGTCCCCATCCCTCTCTACAATCCCTATGCAAACTACAATCCCTACGCCGCCTACCAGAGGTCAGATCAGTATCGAGACACGTGGCCAGAAGGCTTCACGATGAGGGGGGAGCTTCAATGGGGGAAGCTCGGAAAGGTGTTTGGACCAAGGAAAGACCTCCCAGAATTTGTGAAGGATGATCTCCGGAGGGTTTATGGCACCTACCCACGGACCAACGTCTCCATAACCTACCGAAAAGGCGAGTTCTTGGTCAAGGGAGACCCCAAGGTAGGAGAGCAGGAATATGCAGTGGAAAAAAAAGTCATCCAGCAGGCTGTGACCCCCAGTGCTAGCGAGGCAGATGACAGCAGTGAGGACCGGAACCGTAAGAAGAAAAAAAAACTAAGACGTTGATGTAGTCAGTCACTTGAAGGACAGATGCTCCAGAGCCCTCATGAGAGCCAGTTGGCAGCTGTTCTTGGTGTAGCTGGCAAGCAGCACAAGCAATGGATGCTATCACTCCCTCTGTCTTTTAACTCTTCCCAACTTCCATGAGCTTACAGCAGCTTTACCCTGTTTGATGCACGATGGCCATCCTGTGAAGAAACCACATGGCACTTGACTGTCTGTTGGATCAGCTCTTTGGTCCTGGTTTTGAAATGAACGCTTGTTTTCCACTGGGTTGGGTGAGTGGTCACAGTCAGGTGGGGGGATTTCCGGACAGCAGCCCTTGATTAGAAGATGGGCCTCTTTCTACCCTGTCCAAGGGGAAGGTCCTGGAAACTGGCTCCCTTCCTGGCACTTAGTTAAGGAGATCAAAGCAGGATTTCCTCCAAGTTGGGGGCAGTGCAGGTCCCAGAGGAGAGAGGGGTTCTTGAACACTATAAAGAGCAATTGTCTGCATATCTTGTCACTGCTGTTTTATGACCATACCATTGTGCTTAATCACCATGCGGTGCCTGTACGCAGCACTTCCCTACGTGCTGGTGGAAGATCCTGGTGTCCCCATCCTCTTACACTTAGTAACCTGGTGCTCAGTTCTCCTGGCCACGTGTCCTTGTTGAAATAGCTGCTTGAGACCCTGCTCTGGATCTGACTCGCCTCTGGTTGGAGGTTCTGGCTCTCCAGTGAGGTTACTGGAGTTGTGTGAACCACAGCACTTCCACAGCTTGGTCTCTTGGAAGGGTGGACTGCAGATAGTTGTGCTGGAAACCTGGAGGGTTGTGAAGGGCTGGGTCTGACTTGCTTGCAAACTTCTGTACCTTTTAAATGATTATAAATAAACAATAAAAAAACCTAAATGCAAATGTTTGTATTTCTGGTTTTTAGCTACCTGACAGCAGTCTCTCCTATGAACAACTTGCAACCTGATCTGACACCTTTTTGCAAAGTTGGGGATGACTTCTGACTTGTTGCTCTTGCCCAGCTCTGGTGGGTTATTCTGCTTGCTCTGTTTGGCAGCGTCCTGCCTTGCCCCAGTTTGTTGCCTGACAGCTTCCTCTTTGGAGACCAGCAGGGACTTTCTGAGCATACTGGAGAAAAAGGGGACCTAATCTGTCCCCCTGTAGCTCCCCTCTGACATGCCACATGGGAGAAAGGCCTGATAATGCAGGAGGGAACTGGGTGCTCCCTATCTGCCTAGCAAAGGAGAGACCCCATGAGGGTGAACTTGGAGGCCCTTGGTGGCTCTGAATTGCTATAGAGTCAAAGCAAGTGGATTTTTTTTTTTTATAATTAATGGAACAATTGCTGTTTGTTTAAGCAATTGCCAGAATCTCTCGGCAGCTATCTGGATTTCCCCCTTCCGTAATTGGCTTCTTGGAAATGGGTTAACTGCTGCCAGATAAACCTGCAAGGGGGCTGAACCAGAAAAACTGCTGCAGAAACCTCAGACCAAGCTGATGCTCCTTGGCCATGTTGCAAGTGGTGGCCATGGGACTCTTCCACTAATGACTGGTGGCCCTTGGTTATCCAGTGCAGGAAAATGTGGCAAACCCCCCCCCCCCTTTTTTTTTTTAACCCTTTGGCTAAGCAGGGCATCCTGCGCAGGTAGAGATGCGCAGTTAGCTGTCTGCTGCCCTGGTCTGCAGGAGCCTTGCTGCGTTGCTGGCTTTGGGCTCCCTGTCCTTCCAGCAGCTGCTGATCCTGTGGGCAGTGGCTTAAACAGTGAACCCAAAGTTTGTGGATCGGATCCCTATGAGGGCAGTGCAGCATTCTGATGGGGTGCTGGAAGGAGTTTCTTCCCCATCCTCTGTAGCTGGCGCAGGGCACAGCTGGGCTGTCAGAGCTGGATGCTGCCTTTCACGGGAAGGGTGTTGGGAAGGAGCTGGCTTGGGTGAGATTCTGGAGCAGGTATAAAACAGCTTGTCTAGGCAAGGTGAGGGGGAGCATGGGGTTTAACCTATGGTGATGACCAGATGCTACATACGTTACCAAGACTTAAATAATTTATCCTAAATACCACTACTCCAGCCAATAAATTCCTGGTGGCAACTTTGCACCATGTTATAGTGGAAAAGGTTCCCCAAAACTCAAGGCAGACAGCCAAGGTCTCCTAGAGGTATATGATGGATAGGTGGAAAGAGAGCCTGTTGCCTCCATAAAAACTTTCTCCAAATACCTGTCCTTGCAGGGGACATCTCCAGGGCTGGCATGGAGAGAGCAGGCATAACCCTTAACTTTCCCAGGCCTGTCCTGTTTATCTTCTCCAAAGTTTTGTTTGCTTTTGCTGCCCCGACTCTGAACAGGAGATTGCTGGGCACACCCAGGCTGTTGTTCTGACAATGTGTATTTTTAGCAGAGGTTTACAATCACATGCAGTACATCAGGAGGCAGCAACGTACTTATTTTCTCAAGTGCCATTTCACTCCCAGACAGAAGAAAGGGCTTTTTTTTCCCTTGAGGGAAAGCCTGTCACAAACAGCTGTTGCCTCAAGCATCCCTCTGAATGGAGGGAGACCATGGTGGCCATAACTCACCTCCATCCCTACTCTGGTCTCTGTGTGGGAGCAAAGATTTTCACATTCCTTGCAGGAACAGCTCACAGCCATACTCCCTGAAGGTCTGAGGCTTATTTGCTGCCCAGCTGCAGAACTGAATCCATAGGGCATTCTGGAGACTTTAACGCCTATGGAATTCAGTTCTCAGAGCCAAGCAGCCAGTATGAGTCGGCTTCCCCTGGCCCCAGCCAGCTGCATCTCCATCTGTAAGGGGGGAAGAAAATAGCAAAAGTTCATGACGTCACCAACACAGTGCAGGCACTGAGCTGACACAGATTTCTGAAATGGGGAGCTGCTGCAGGGAGAGGACTCTGGCACCTCTGGCTCTGGCCCCAGAAGCAGCATGCACAGCTGTGGCTTTCTTTGGAAACTTTGCTCAAGTTGGCTGCTATTTTTTTCTGCTGCTTCTACGTGTCGTCCTGTCGTTCAGAGCTGCTGCAAAGCTTCAGGTCAGCCCTAAGCTCTGTGAATCTGCTGCAGCTGTAAGAGAAATACCATTTCTTCCAGATGGGGCTGGTATTTGCAGGTGCATTGGGAATCCCACCTTCGTATTTGCCTTGTGTGTGGGTGGTAAAGCATCCCTCAGTCTAAACTGCTCTTGCTCTGCATGCGTATCTGAAAACGGGGTGCAGCCATGCTGGGGGCAGTGGGGTACGCTCAGTGCTGTGGGAGCATCCCAGCGATCCTGGCCACCAGCTCTCTGCTCATACTGCAACCAGCGCTCATGGGAACCCCTGGAATTAGGACGTGCCAGCTGATGGACAGAAATGGTTTGTGTAACTGGTGGTGCTCTGCAGCTGGACCACAAGGCAGAGGAGCCTGTACAGGACTGGGAAGGGATGGAGGGTAATACTGCAGCTTAAAATGAAGCAGTGAAAGGCCTTTTCCAGGCAGCTCAAAGAGCAGATCCAGGGAAGGATTAGTCTCGGTCTGGGCCAAGCTGGGACATGCATCCCACAACTACGCATGTGCCCTTTGCTGCCCGCTGCCCCCACCCTGCAGTTTGGGCTGCAAAGCTCACATGCATAGAGGGACAGATTCAGGGGACACGCGGGGACCCCCATGAGCAGCTGCGCAGATGCTGATGCTGCTGGCAGATTTGGGCAGCCTCGGTCCTCAGCAGACGTTCATTTTCAAACCCAGGGACTGAGCTGATAGCTGGAAGGCAGGGAGAGGCTTTTTTTTTGGCTCGGCAATGGTTTGACACTGTTGTGATGACAGGGGCTCAGTGTGGCTCAGGCAGGAGTAACCACTGGGAGAGGGTCACAGCCCTTTGCCTGTACACCAGCAGTGCAGGAGGGGAGCCCTCTCGTCTGACGGGTCAGCAGAAGAGATGGGAAATGACACACACTCTTTGGAGCACAGGCAAAGATTTCGATGGGGGAAGCACCAAGCAACTGTCAACGGAGGAGCTAACTCCGCGATTGCTCAGCTCCCAGCCTGGGGCTCTATTTTAATCCATCCAAGTTCAGCTGGGGCAGCGTGAACCTGCTGTCCTGCTTGCTGGATGCCTCCCTGCGCGGTGACGCTCTTGTTCCAGGGGAGGTTTTGTCATGTGCCTGCCATGGGATGGGGTGAAAACATGGGGAACCCAAAGGAGCTTAGCCAGTTCCTGCCACCCAGGGGATGGGTGTTTTGAAGGAGCCAAGCCCCATTACAAAAGCCATGGGGTCCCAGGTCCACGGGGGCTACCCGGGTTGGGGCTGGAGGGGTGGCAGCGGAGGAAGATGGAGTAAAGCAGAGCTGTACACCGGGGTCCCCCCAACCCTGGAGCAGGTGGTCGGGTGCATCTCAGTGGCAGCATTGGGGTGGAAGAGGCAGCTCAGGGACCCAGCTGTGCACCGTGCTGTTTTTCAGATTGCTGTGGTGTGGCAGAGAGGTTTCAATAGCCGAGTCCCCTGAGCTCAGAAAAGGGCAGCGATGTCCCTCCTCCTCCTCCTGCTCTGCAGGCAGGCACCTCTGCCTGCTGGAGATGCTACAGCCGGGTGACCTGCGATGGCTGGTAGAGATGGGGTACTTTGGGGCTGCTCCTTGGCCAGCCCATGCCACGGGATGGTTGCCCTGTGGTCCCTGGCTGTTTAACACATGGAAAGCCCTTGAGCTTCATTTTTTAAGCTGTAAAACTCCTCTCCAAGGCGTTTCCCCCAAAAGGGTTGAAGGATCACTGCTGTTCAAAGTGCCGGCCACCTGCCTTCAGCCCTCGTCTGCTCTTGAGCAGCCACTGCTTTTAGGAACTGAAAGGTGGAGGCGAGGGAAAAGCCTTCCTCCCCATCTTCTTCCATGCAGTGGGTTTGCAAACAAAGGGGAAGGGTTTCAAGCAGGCAGGCAGGGGGTAACCCTGACAAGCCCTCCCTGATGGTGCTCCAGGAGTCATCACCTTCCCTTG